TACTGCTTTGGTGAAAATTTGGTGAATACATGACTAGTGGTTAATTTGCTTTCTTAAATCATTGCTAAATACCACAAGTTTAGTAATTGTTTACTGTCCATGCAATTGAAGTGTTGATAAAATATTGCATCAATTTATTTCTTCAAGTTGATCAATTCATACGAATTCAAATTTTTTATACTACTGTGCGTTTCCTATTTGTCAATACGACATCTAATTGGCTTATCTAGAAGTAACATCAAATGAATTGATCAACTTGAGGAAAGGAATTGGTGCAATATTTTATCAACACTTCTACTGTATCGACAGTAATATATTTCAAAACTGGTGTAAAAGCTATTATAATAGAGTTGTAAAATCAAAAATTTCGCTAGCGGTTTGACGTTTGCCGTAAACGTCAATCTTAAGGTGTCTAAAGTGTTGGCGGTGACGGAACCAACTGGATAATGGTATCCGAGTTGGTTATTCTAAAATTCCTCAGAACTTAAAGCATGCGTGTACAAGATAGTGCTTTTGTTTTTATCCGATGCTTGGCCAGAAATCACGGACATGATTATTCTACTTCCTTGCCAGTTTGCATATCATTAATACATGCATAACCCGTTGAAAAGTGGGTTCGGTAGTAAACAGTAAATTATATTACGCGATGCTTTATATCGCAAAATCAGAAATATTGGTGGGTCGTTTGCAATTTGCCTCGATTGCTGGTTGCAGAACACGGTCTGTTGAAATATATCGTGTAGTGTTTGCCTGGTGTAAGTTACTGCCTACTCTGCATTTTTGTTTGTCTGTAGTGGCAATAGTGCGGTATTCTTATATAGAGTTAAATAAACAAATTCCGTATGAACTAACGAAAATGCAGAATAGTCACTAACTAAAATCAAGTCAACATTACGCTAAATACATCGACAGACTTTGATTTATAGCCAGCGACTGAGGCAAGTTGCAAATGACCTATACCATAGGGCGCTTTCCATTTACTGGTCTGACCGGTCAGACCCGAATTATTTTCTCTCTATCAATGGAAAGATCTGGTCTATGTTTCTCAAATATCTAGCGAAAATGGACCTCATTCTAATGTTATCAAAATTTTCCAGTCAGAAAGGTCCGAATCCCAAATGTTTTGTGTTTCATTCAACAATTTGACCGTTCTGACCGGTTTGGCCGTGTTAAAGGAAAGCGCCCATATTCTCTGATTTTGGGATTTACAGCATCGCGTAATATAATTTACTGTTTACTGCAGAAGCCATATTTTAACGTGATATACAAATTACGAAGGAAGTAGAATAAATCATGTCCGTGATATCTGGCGTGAGATCAATTTTCATGCATGTTAACTCGTAAAATATGAATTTGATCGCCGTATGTATACCAATAATTCGGTAACCGCTACAGTAATACACCCTTTTCATAAATGGCTGTCGATTAAAAATTATTTTATGTGCATATAAATTGGCCCAACTAGCCTCGTTTCTGGGTAGAGATTCCTTTGAAATCCTAACATGAGTACGAGGCTAGTTGGGCCAATTTACATGCACATAAAAGATTTTTTAGTCAGCAGCCATTTATGAAAAGGGTGTATACAGAACAACTTATAGTGAATGGCAACGGGACTACAAAAGCGGAAGTGACTGTAGGAGTTACGACGCACAATGAACAGTTTGCTGATATTGAAAATAACATTTCCGACATTCGTTTCATGCAAAGAATGAACACACGTATCATAATTACTGCGAATAGGTTTGATTCAACCTTGTCCAAGTTTTCACATACTCAGCGCTTGCAAGTGAGTTCACGACGCATAATAGACATATTTAGAAAACATAATGCGACATCTACGACGATGTGAAAATGGTGCGGCAAGAAGAATTTTTCTTCCGGTTTGAATTGCGATGTCGTCTTTGTTGATTTTGACGTTCTCTCTATAGGACGTCGCAAATTTATCCTTCTTGTGCATCATAAAGATAATCCTTTTTTGTAGTTTAATCTTTTATTGTTTATAATAATTCTAGTTAAATATTTTCTTTTGAATTTTCTTCTATATATTTGCTAAATTTTGGACGTGTTGGTTTTCGATAATTCCTTCCGTTGCAATAACAAATCAATAAAACTGCAAGCATTGTTATACTTTAGTATCGCTAGTGTTCTTCACCAAAGCGAAGTGAACGAAAGTTGTACAAAATTCATCAGGAAAGTTTTTGGCAATATTATATATTTAATAGCTTTTTCTTGCACATATCGTGAAAACTGATTGAAAGCAACAAAGGATTGAGCATGAGCCGACAAGAAAACAAAAAATTGTTTTAAAAAATTGGTTTTTGTTAATTTTGAGAGTTCAAAGACCTCATTTTTCGCTGAACTTATTTCAAAAATTTGATTTATAGGTTTTTGAAAAGCTAAATCAATATATTGCTGGGATTCAGTATTTACCAAACGAAGTAAGTTAAACTATAGCCTTGTATGAAGAGTATATTATCAGTTAAATCAGTAGTGACGTCACATCCATAAAACGTTGCATGTGATTTCGCACTTCAACTGTATCATAACGTACCGTCTTTTAAGTCACTAGTTCCACTCCTGGGTGCATCAAAAAGTAGACAATTTTGAAATGGCCAGCAAATTAAAATTTCCGGAACTTTTGTGATGCTTTATGTAAATATAAGAGGGTTTCCTGATTTCTTCCGAACACCACTTTTACTTAAAAAAAACCTTCCGAGTGCAAAAGGATTGTGATTGTTAATTAGTGACTTGAAACAAATTTAAACAAGCGTGAAATGCTACTTGTTGAAATGTGTGAAATCAATTATACATGAAATGTTAATGCAGGTCAAATTGCTTTGTTCTATTATTACTTTGACAGTCCGTAAAGCACATTTTAAACTTGCATTGCATTTTAAAGGAATATGGCAATAAATATTAACTTTGTCTCATTTGACAAAACTTTTAAAATAATGGGGAAAACGTTTTGCAGCTTCTGCTAATGTTTTAACGTTTTTGAAATATTGTGACTGAAATCATCATAATTAAATCAGGGAGTGGTCTGCTATCTTGGATTATTGCAGATATGCATGTTATGTACTTATGTGCAAGCAGGGTCACGCAAATATTTTACCCAGATAAACAATGCATGGTCATTTTGAGCCCATATACTTCAGCCACTATTTGTTATTTGGTCATCTAGGAGTGTTTTTATATGACTAACCCTGCTTTTGGTGTCATCAAAACAACAGTTAATGAGATAAAAACTAATCCAGGTGGAGGACAGGTTATTGTTTGTTGTCAACATATTGCAAGAAAGCAAATTATGAATAATTGGCAAAGAAATGCAGGTTCTATCAAATGAGACAAATTGAATTTTTATTGCTATATCTCATTAAACCTTTCATTTTTGTATGCAAACCATTTTCAATCTCGACGCCAAAAACAGCATTTTTCACTGGGTAAGAAAACAATTGTTGAAAAAGATTTTAATGCTGATGAAATCAGAAGAAACTTAGCTACATTAGATACTCATATAAATTTTCATGCACATAAAGAAGTTGGGGAATTTAAGTTTAGTGGCCATTTGAAAATTGACTACTTTTTATTCACCCTGTGCACTGCATATAGAAGTGAAAAGCGGGCTTTAAACTGAACCACTTTTAGACAAACAAACATTTAACCATCACATTGACATGCCTACATTGACATGCCTACAACTTACAACTAAAACGCTCTCAAAAATCTCTTAATTCATCTTTATTAACCGTTAACCCACCCTCAACTTCCTTCCCTATACGGTCTCACGATAACGTTCCATAGCAACCATTGCCAACCAACATACTGAAATCCATCAACCAATCAGACGTCACAGACTCCAACAGCGTCAACAACAGCGCGAAAATTCAAATTATCAATCATTCTGATGAAGACTCGAAGTACCGAGTCGAAAGCTCAAAATCAAACGATCAATCCGGAGAACACTGTTTAATTTGTAAAAATTATAATTTAATAAAATGCCTGGATTACAAATTTTTAACAGGCGGATCAAAACGCTGCAATTTATGTTTGGAAGAAAAATTTTGCATTTTGAAAGACATAAACAAAGACATTTTACTTAATATAAGAAGCGAAATTTTCGGCAAGTGTCGTCACAAAACCCGGTTTCGAGTAAACAAGGTCGTTAACAGAATTTAATGACCCAAGCATTGTTTCGCCTAAGCATTGTTTCGCCTACACGCATTCCGCGCATTTGTCGATTGCATAAAAGCAACCTATATTTTCGAAATTACTCACCACCTGACGATTCCTATACGGATGGAACAGACTGTTGTGGTTTTTTTGAGGATGTTATATGTTATATATATATATATATATATATATATATATATATATATATATATATATATATATATATATATATATATATATATAGTAATGTTTGAATATAAACATATATGTGTTCAATAGCGTACTATTTATGCAACGTGGGAGAGATAAAAATAAAACGCATATTTGTTGCAAACATGTGACTAATTTGAATTTTTTATTTATGGATTTCTTTCTTTTTTTTAGTTAAAGAGACTAGCTGGGAATTTTTTGACAAATTTTGAAAACGCTAATGGTAAACTTCTACAGTTGAGTCCTCGTCAATCCGCGAATGACAGGCGGCTGATTGAAGTCTTGGTTCATTTTCTTATCGTCATGAAATGTTTGCCTCACAATCGGTTGCTGCAACCTCTTACGAACCTTGCTTTTAACCCAGCTTTGATGAGGGTAAGAAGTATTGTTAGTATTACTATTTTGATGAAAATTTTTCCCTGACGATATTCATCATTTATAGACCCGGAGCGAGGGGGATTCGGCGGAATATCACCCGAAGTGATGATATTTCCCGGGGGGGTTTTCCCCGAGGGAAATATCTTTAGTGAGGGTAATATTTCGACGAATCCCCCGAGCAGGGGTCTATAAATGATATATTATACCGAAAATTAAAGAACCCACCAAGTCCAGAATAAAGTCAATAAACTTAAAACTTGAAGCGAATACAATTTTTAATTTCTTATGTATGCCTGAGTTTTCGACGTTTTCTGTTCAAAATATTTGAGCATGTATCCTTTGGATCATTGAAGGTAACATACGTCTTGAAAATCTTTCCCAACTTAAATCAATAAATCTTCTTTACGAAATTGCAAACAACAGCTAGACTTTCCAAAGTCCTTTCCAGGCCCTTCTATGGCGCGCTTCACTTCCTCTGTGGAAAGGACTTTTGTCACTTGCAGCGCGCCAAATATCACCGGTGGAAAAATCCACCGGTGACGTCATTGTTTACATTGAAGGCCGAAGC